TAAAAAAAAAAGGGTGGGGGGGCAAACAAAGCCATACTGGGGAGAGGCCACCCAAGAAGTCAAATAACACAAGACAAAGCAAAGATCACAATTTTTAGGCATTTTAGAGACTTAAAGAGGAGGTGAAACTTTAAATGCAGCTTTCTCTCTTTCTTTTGGCATTATGCTCAACTAGTGGAGCAGATACCTTAGCAACCACTTCAGAGATTTTGATTCCCTTTGTTTTGTAAAGCTCTTTGAACTGTACTTCAGGAGACTGCGTTCTTAATTTTTCATTTTACCTCTTCTCAAGAATTTTTCGAAGGGCTTCTTGTTTGTAGTGGAAGTGTGCTCATTGTAGTGTTGCTGGAGAAAACGTAAACTACAGGTTTTAATGTTGCAAAAACATTATTTTGAAAATGCAGCCCTCTTCATCATATATTTGGCCGTATACATAGTTATTACCAACTATATACTTTATTTTATATATCATTCAGCCCCTCCACGAGGTATAATGAAATAATTTCTCTCATTGAGTTTTTGTGGTGTTGCCTTGAAATTTCCATGGCGGCACTATGAGGCCATTCTTAGTGTCTGTGCCAATTTTCATCAATATCCAACCAGAAACAAGAAAGTTGGTTCCAAAAGGCACATTCACACTTGACATAAAAAAAAAAAAAAAAATGTTCATGCACAGACCACCATACAGTTTACTTTGCTTGAGTGTAAACAGTGCTGAGCAATAAAGACACCATAAGAAGTATATGCTCAGTGTTTTTCAGTTTTTTATATGCTATGCAGTATTGTAACATGAGAAGTCTTAAGAAAACCGCCTTGTTTAAATTGCACTTTGACTGTGGAGATCACTTGAATTGCCATCTGCACTTTTTCTTGTTTAGATTTCCTGGTTTTGTTTAAGTGACCGACATTGTGCAAGCGGCCACATTGTTCTTCAATTGCTGAGCACACTACACAACTCGCAGATTGAAATACATCAATACTATAGCCCTAAATAATGCTCATTTTTCGTTTTGCCGCCTTCAGTTGATGTCATGTTGATGTAATTTCAGCTCAAACATTGATATTAGAGCCAATATTATATTTAGTAGCCAGTCTCGTAGTGACATAACCCAGTGATCTCATTTTGCGTGCATATCAGTCAATATGCTGAAAGTTTTGACGTCGCCTTTCCGATTGCGAGGACATACTTGCTTTCTATAATAGAACACATATAGCATGAAGTCTATGTAGCCCGTAGCTCCTGCAGTGATGACTTCACAAATGTTGCATTCATGTTTCCGTGGCACTCACATCTCAGCTGTCCAGAAGATTTTTGAGACTGCATTACATGCTAATGCATCGATCATGTGCAACAAAAGCACTGCTAACACATTTGGAACTATGATTTCAGTTTCTAAGCCCAACACATCCATCAAGGTCACTACAAAAAGTCAGTACTTACCGCGTACAATGCCTCCACTAGCAGAGTCCCTGAATGTGGCATGAAAAATGGCTTTGCGACCCAGCTCAAAGGCATCTTCATCAGACATGTCATAGTTGTATCCATTGTCAAGGACACCGTAGGCATATGTTGACCCGGAGCCACATGAATAGAGACTTCCCGGAAGCCGGTTGCCTTCATTATCCACATAGTAGAGCCCAGGACCCTGCCAACACATGAAAGGAAGGTCAGTTTATTATTATTATTTTGCAGTCAAAACTGCACTGTCACCTCTCACAGCCTCTTTCTGCGATTAAAGAAATGTGCACTGCAGCTTCCACCTCGAGCTCAGGGTATCTGCGCAGCTGATGTTCGCAGATTCGTTAAGTTTTTCTAGTTTTCTTGCGAGTGCTTTTATAAAATCCCAGAGAGGCACCAGTCTGTTTCATTTCAAGACGGGCTGACACAAATATGGTTGCTTGCTCCATTCAAATCGGGATGCTCACAACATAAGGAATGCAGAATATTTGCTCACAGCAGTGTCACCTCCAGTCACACAAAAGAGAGCATACACCCACGTGCTCACCTAAAATTAGGCTGCTGCAGGCCGCTGTTTCAAATTATGTATCATCAAATTCACCTTAGAATAAAGACGACTATGAAAATTCTTAAAAATAGGTGGGATTTTAAAATAAAACAATGAAGGTTTTCTGGTGAAACTATCAGTTCAATTTTTTTTCTTTTGTAGTAAACTGATGTGCAGCTAGTACATAAAAGAATGAACAGTGCTGGAAATATGTTCAGGTACATGCTTACAACAGCATGCAGAAACAAAATCTTAAGACTGGCGAAGCTGTACTGCAGAGGTTGTATGAACACAGTATGCAAAATGTTAATGGCACTATCTAGAGTTACAGATGCCTCAGGATGAAGTGATTGTTTCTGTGCTCTAAACAGCTTTCACAGTGGCATTTTTCAAGGCCACTCACATCTGGAGCTTTCCGTACGAAAGAGCACGTAAAACCTCACCAATAATACTGTAAACAGTTGGACTGAAAGGTTGCTTTTGTGCCTATTTGTCCAAGACAAATTTTTTAGTTGACAAACAAAATTAATTTGATTTGTTGCAGTACTACCAGAAACCTAGAGTAGAGAGAGTGGAAGCCACGCTTACTTGCAAATATTCTGTCCACCACATTTAATTGCAGTATCATGTCCTGACACACTATACACAACACGTTCTAACACAATACCAAAAACATCAAGTAAAAAATTTTTGTCTTACCCGTTTGTCCCAGCCACAGATCATGACACCCTAGGCGTAATGGAGGAAAAGAAAACATTTGTGCATATAGAATTGACACAAGCAAATGGTATGTTAACACAGTATCTATCCACATTGAAGAGGCACTGAACATTCATGCTGAGGCAACGCTTGAGGTATGACTGCTTAACATTCATGCTCAGGAAATGCTTAAAGTGTTCCAGAATATCACACCACACACACCCAGGAAAAAAAACTATGTATCGTAAATTGCATCTAAGGTTCGCATAAAAGAAACGTAACATGCTAATTTTGAAGTAAAAGTTCAGAGCACACAACTAACCAGAGAAAGACCCATGCCCTTGTAGTTGTAAAGGATGTTTGCCAGTAGCTTGGATGCAGCTGCCACAGAGATCCGTTCTCTGTTTCTGAGTTCATAGATACTGTAAAAAGCAGAGGCAGGGAGGAGAAGAAAAATGCAACACAATTGTTGATATTGAGATGCAGCTTACTAGTGCATTTGGCAAATAAACAAACAATGAACAATGATAAAAAATGCAACACATAAAAGGTAATACCAATAAGAAACAGTGAGTAAAAAGTAACATCAAGAAGTAAAAAGTAAGTGGCATACGGTACCCTTGTGCAACCTTTCTGATTGTTGCAGAGGATTTTACAAGTTATACCACTCAGTGCACGTTCCAGTCATTCAAGTGTGTTTACTGGCTGGTACAGTGCCCAAAGTGGACAGTGCAAGTGGCATGCATAGTGGAAAATGAGCTGCCCCATGAATGCCATTCAAGTACTATACATTAAAGGGGACCAGCAACACTTTTTGAGCATGGTCAGAAAACACTGCTGATAGGTAGCCGAGGCTCCTGACAACACGTGAGCCAAATATTATAGCGCAGCACGCCGGCCTGGAATTCACAATAAATTATCAAAGTCAGCTAAAAATTGCTTTCTCCTCCCTCAACAAATGACAGAACACACTCAAAAATCACACGTAGCAAGCCCATCTATCAGCCATTGGCTGATCTGAACATGGGGCGCTCGGTTGTTACAGAGGTTGCCACGGGAGGCCGTGACTTGTCCAAGCGTGCGTGCGCGATCACGCTGTAAAAGTCACACATTCGAAAGAAAAAAGATGAAAAAAGTGCTCAAGGTCACGAGGCACGCCTGATGTATTTTCTTTGCCCCTGCCATCTATCCCTACTTAGCTTCCAGCGCTTTCGTCGAGACGAAAGAAAAGAGAATGCAATTGCACCATGCGACTCCACTCGCACTGGATGAATTTTTTAAATTTTTGCAACGTTGAATTTGCGAGGCAATAAGCCTTTCAGTGAATTCATTCCATGGTTACATGAAAAAAAATGTTTCAGGGCCCCTTTAAGCACTACAACAAAGAGAGGCATCCAGACCACACTAGAGAAAAGCATTTAAGCATAGTAAAAAAAATTGATAAATGAAACACCTTTGTCTAAACTTGCACTCTGAGGTATACTTGTATATTGTCACGAGCAAAACAAGACCTGCCGCCAGGAGTTCACCTGAACCCGAGCAACGAAAATGTTCTCTTCCTCTTCGCAGCCCAAAACGGGTATGAGCCACAAAACGGGTATGAGCCACAGCGGCTCGTTCATCAATGGTGGCATTACCCCCTCTCCCAAGAAGCTTGTCTCGATGCTGTACATGAAGGCAAAAAAAAAAAAAAAGAAAAGAAAATGAGATGAAAATTACCATGCAAGCAAAACGAATGGCGTAAGGCGGAATAACATAGTTGGTTGTGGAGCCAAGAGTTAAATGAGAACTAAGAAAAATAGGAAAGAATGTAAGGGAGAGACGATTAAAGTCAGTCACTCACAGGCGATTCACAGTGCGAAAAGTATGGTTTGAGCCGTGAAACGTGAATGACTTCAGTTCGCGGGGTGAAACTAAGGCCCCTGTATTTTTCAAAGGTAGCGCAAACCATTGTACAAAAAGCGGAGGAGAATTTCCTCCCCGCCCTCTACGTCTCTCCTCACTCCGGCGCGCGTTTCTGCTACCCTATTGGACCAGGCGCGACACGTGACCAATGAACCTGTTTGACCGCTTGTCAGGTTCGGCTCCGCCGGGCAGCGACGCCATGAGTGAGCGCACTGCATCTCGCTCCCACGTGTGTTGCCTTTAGCAAGGCGGCCTCGGATGCAGCGCAATGCCGACCTGCTGTGCCGTTGGCTGCTCCAGCAGCATTGCAAAAGGCGACAAGCTTTTTGCGGTTCCACAAGGGAAAAATAATGAGGAGCGGAGAGCGGTATGGCTGTATCGCATCGGCAGGAAAAACTTCGATTGTCACCGAGGGAGGCTTTGCGAGGTAAGCACTCACTACAGAACTTCTTCGCGTAGACATGCCTCCGGAAGGCTTTCAGATAAAGCTCATCCTTGGTTCAGGTTCATGTTAAACAAAAGCAGCTTGAAGTTTCCGTCGACGCTTTCTCGCACGATTTCAACCACGATGACAGCTCGATCGTTTTTAGCTTGCTCGAATATTCGAATACGGTCACAACATAATTACTGTTGAATGTGTGGCGTTCGCGATTTGCTTTCTAAATGGAACCATTTGCAGCGGAAGCAATTATGCTTCTCCAGAGATCAACCACGTCTTTGATCGTTTTTCCTTTTTTTTTTCGCTCGAACTTTGATTACCTGTAGGCAAAATGGCGTTTATTGTTTTATTGTGGTTTATTGTGTTCTCAGTTTGTATTCTTTCATATTTATCTCACTTTTGCGCACTTCAATGACCGAATTTTGTGCATGCGTGTACAGCTAATATAAGAGAGTGTATGGTAAATATAATGTTGTATAGTTGTTTATTTGTGAAATGCACAGATACTTTCGTTCAAATTTCAAACATACTTGCGAAGTTGTACACTTTCGATTAACAAAGAGAAAGGCACCTACTAAATGCAAGAAAATCATCTGGCTTTTGTGGCTGTTTGCATTTTTAACGTAAGAAGCAAAATATTTTGCTTCGGCAATATCACATCAGCCAAACTGCAAAAATGCGATAGAGGATGTCGGTATTTTTCAGAAACACTTCACGATGGATCAGTATGAGCCAGCAATTCTGGCACAAACTGGCATCAAGAAACTCAACCCAAATGCGGTTCCTTCTATATTTGCGCATCGGCCTCTTCCGAAAGAGCGCAAGCCACCCCGCAAAAGGGGGAATGAAACGGTTCCTGGTGAGGCCCCTTTGTAGTTTCTATTCCTCTCTTGTGTTGTGAATGCGATTATGTTTTGGGGTTTATATGACAATACAGTGTGTTTGGATCGCTGGCAGATAGCATAGTTGCTGCATTTATCTTTATGACCTGTGAACCTGATTAATTCGGCATCCAATTCTGTCTTACTGTGGCAGCAAACATCCCCACCCCTACACTGTACTTGCTCAACTCTTGCTTACAGCTGTATCCTTGGATGATGCAGAAACGTCAGTGGGGAGGGCCCCGGACGCTGAACCAGTGGGCAGTTTATTTTGTGAGTTGACTGCGCTGTGATGACAAATGTTCGCGCCTTTAGACTTTGTACTTACGCAATTCATGCTTACAGCTGCCTCCTCGGACAACACAGCAACGTCAATAGACCGCGACCCTGAACCAGTGGGCAGCCCAGTTTGTGAGTTAACTGCACTGTGATGGCAAATGTTCACGCCTCTAGCCTCTGTATTTACAATTCATGCTTACAGCTGCCTCCTGGGACCAGCCAGGAACGTCCACAAGGGTGACCCCTCAACCAGTGGGCGGCTCATTTTGTGAGTTGATACCACTACGATGAAAACTTGTCACCTCTAGAGTCTCTACTTACACTCTGTATTTACACAATTAATGCTTACAGCTGCGTCCTGGGACCAGCCAGGAACGTCCACAAGGATGACGCCTCAACCAATGGGCGGCTCATTTTGTAAGTTGATACCACTATGACGACAACTGTTGTCACCTCTAGAGTCTCTACTTACACTCTGTACTTACACAAACCATGTTTACAGCTGCCGCATCAGATGACACAAACAGAATGGAGGCAAGCCAACATTTAGAAGCACCACTTGAGCCTTCAGTGGAAGAAGCACTAAGGATGCGAATAAAAGAACTGGAGCTGCAGCTACAAGCTAAGGAGCAGCAGCGGTTACTTGCTAACCGTAAAAAAAACCAGGCAGCTCTTGAAATGAAGAATCTAGAGTCTGGACTGAAGGAGTTTTTGAACGCAGATCAGATGCGGAGGCTTAAAAAAAGACAACGAGAGGCACACCATGGACAGAAAAAACTCTAAGAAAAGGACTGCAACTTAGATTAGCCTGTGGAAAACGGGGCTATAAACTTGTGAGGGAAACAGGACAGCCTCTTCCAGGAGACCGCACGTTGCAGCACCATCTCCAAAGTTTCAAGTTCAAGCCTGGTTTGCTTCACGACTTGATGCCAGCATTTGCTTTAAAGGTATGCTTTATTTCTCGCAATCCCCAAATCTTCTTATTTGTTGGCACATTTAATTTGCACTAGTTTGAAGCTGTTTTTGGTTAACACCTGCTTTTTTGTAGGTTGGGCAAATGGATCCAAAGGAACGGCATGCAACCTTGATGATAGATGAGATACAGCTGACACCTGGCCTGGCATATGACGTGTCCTCTGGAACAGTATTTGGAGCACCAACGGTACCTCTAGCCGACGGTACATTGCCTGATGGATGCCTTGCAACACATGCAATTGTGTTCATGCTTGGTGGGGTCAGCACCCGGTGGAAACAGGTTGTAGCATACCACCTCACAGGCAATTCCTTTCACGCAAAGACAATGAAGCAGATCATTGTGGACGTTATCACAGAGTGCGAAAAAGTTGGAATTCGTTTGCATGTTGTTGTGACGGACATGGCGGGAGGCAACCAGTCTGTTTGGAAGTTGTTCGGAATTGTAGTTGGAAAGCACAGCAAGCCGAAAGTTTCATGTGCTCGCCCGTGTGACCCTAGCAGAAAGCTTTTTTTTATGCCAAATGTGCCACACTTGCTTAAAAATTTGCGCAATCACCTAACTCAAGGACAAGAGATTACGCTGACAGAAGACCTTGCCAAAAAGCTAAAACTTCCCGGCCGCACCGTGTCAGTCCAGCCAATTAAGCGGGTTGTAGAGGTTGATGCCAAGGCAGACCTTAAACTGGCACCCCATTTGAAGGAAGCATGCGTGCAACCAGGACATTTTGAAAAGATGAAAGTGGGATTTGCTTTCAGTTTGTTTAACAACGACACAGCGGCTGCACTGCGCATGCTTGTAGAAGCAAAGGACGACGAAATTAATAAGACAGATGCCTTAACCACAGCGTGGTTTGTTGAGACGGTGTTTAAATGGTTTAAATTAATGTCCTCAAGAACGACAAAGCTTGCCATAAGCCACTTCGATGAACAACGGTACAAGGAGACCGTCACGTTTTTAAAAGGCATGATTGACCTTTTTGAAAAAATTGAAATCGGAACTGATGCGAAAAAATGTTGGAAGCCTATTCAAACGGGCATAGTGATGGCGACTACAACTATGTTGCATGTGCAGGAGCTGTTTTTGAATGACTTGGGGTTTGTCTATCTCTTGTTGAGCCGCTTCAGCACTGACGCTCTTGAAAACCTGTTTTCAACCTTGAGAGCAAAAAATCCTGTACCAGGGGGATTGGAATTTCGGAGCGCCTTGAAGATTGCCACTCTGTCTTTGTTTTTGCGACCGAGTAAGGACGGAAGTTATTCTGATGCTGATGGCTTCATGCTTGCCGGAATCAACAGTGGGAAACACCAACATGACGGAGTAGATTCCGTTCACACTCCTGACAACATGCTGGATCTGGAAATTCTAGAGCAGGAGTCATTGACATACCTCGCTGGGTATGTTGTGAGGGGAGTCAAGAATGGTTTGGCCTGCCAAGAATGTCAAGCTGCACTGTCTGACAGCAGTAATGCTTGCAGGCTTCAGCAGTTAAAAAGCTTCACCAAACACAAAATGACGCTGGCTATTCCATCAGCGGCAGTGTTGCAGGTTGAGTTTGCAGAGGCTTACGTCAGAAAAAATGAAGTGGACCTTCTCACAAACAAAGTCAGTGTACCAGCATTGCAGGAAAAAATAATAGCTTCTTTGTTCACAGCCAATTCTTTCCCGCCATGCCATGAACTGCCCAAGAAGACTGTACAGTTGTTTTTGCGAACAAGGATGTACATATTAGTAAAGAAGTCCAATGCTGAAGCGGAGAGGAAGCGACTGGCTTCAAAAAAGTCGGGCAGCAGGAGTGTTTCAATGAGAGATGCCGTTAAAAACGTGCACTAGTTTTGTTTATGTTTTTGCCTATTTCCTGTACACACTTGGAAATGTCACATTAGTAGACTTCGGTACCTTATGTGTATATTTGTGATCGAAAAAGAAGGTTTCTTTACAAATGTGAATGAGTTTTGTTTATGCTTTTGCCTAGTGCTTGTATATACTTAGATATGTCCAATGTATATTTTACTTTAGTGCCTTATGTGTATACCTGCGATTAAAAACGAGGGTTCCTTTACTTAAAAGTGTGCAATGAGGGTTTCAATATTTTGAGATGTATTTTTGTATTGCTGCGAACCAGTGCATGTTGTGTTTTCTTTATGTCTGGGCGCCACTCTCGGTTGTCTGATCTGTGTTCAGACCGCGAGTTTTCTTCTGTTTTTTTTTTGTATGCCTTACAGGCTATCTGATTTAATGAGAGTGTTTCACCCCTTTGTCACTTGACTTGAATGTTTTAATGAGAGATTTTGTTACAAATGTGCAATGGTTTTGTTTATCCTTTGAATATTTCTTGTATACACGATGCAACGATGTGTATGTCTGTGATTGAAAAGGTTCCTCAACTTATAAGTGCGCAATGATTGTTTCAATATTTCATCGTGTATTTGTATACGTCTGCGAATGACACCCCTCTTGTATTGTTTGTGTTTGGCCACGCCTGGCTGTGTCACCTATGTTCAAAGCGGGTGTTTTCTTCTCTGATTCAGTGAGTGCAAGGTTTAGCGAGCCGACGCAAAGCAGGGCGATGAGGCGCGCCGTAGTGGAGGGCTCCGGATTAAGTTTTTTTTCTCTTTCCTTCGCATGCTGTAGAGGCTATCTGATTTGATAGCGAAATTGTTTCGCCCTGTCGTCGCTCTACTGGAATGTTTTGCAGCGTTTGTGGTCATTCGATGCTTCCCGTATTTTATTTGCACACTCAATAAAATCTACCTTCATCCCACTAAACGTTTGTGGTATTTTATGGATGAATCGTTTACACACGTCCCATTATGGAAGCAGGCATGCATGTCCCAAATTTCAGTAGGGCTCTGTTGTTCCTATACAAACTCGAGCTCTAAGAGCACTCATATTAACTTTTGAGGGGCTGTTCCACACTTATAAACCCAAGAAAAATTACACGTAAGACCAGATTTTTCTATCTTATGAAGCAGGCAACAGATTAAATCGACCATGAGTACTGCAAAGGCAGATTATAAACCGAAGAAAAATTACACAAAGCCCAGATTCTATCTTGTGAAGTAGGCCCCAGATTAAATCGACGATGAGTACTGCAAAGGCAGATTGCGATAGGGCGGCATTTGGTACATTTGGTTCCCCTCAAAACGCGAGATGATAGCTAAGGCACTGGCCGATCGCACACTGTTGTTCTTACACAGTATTTGCGAGCACCGTTTCAAGAATTAGCGCGTTTTAAGCAAGCACCTCAACGTAAGGCCCCTAGGGGCCTTTCTTCAACGCGCCGCGCGACAAAACGAAACCGTCCGGCGGCGCGCCCCGCGTGAGTCGCTCCTTCATGGCGGCTGAGAGTGGCGGGCGAGGAGGAAACGGCGCGGGGAAGGCAGTTTGTGCTACCTTTGAAAAATACAGGGGCCTTAGGTGAAACGGGAACGTCTCGAAGTGCCTTCTGGGAGAACTTCGTATGTGACGTCGCTGAGACGTCGTACGACCTTGTAAGGGCCGAAGTAGCGGCGAAGAAGCTTTTCTGATCGGCCATGTTGTCGGATAGCGGTCCACACCCAGCCTTTATCACCGGGCTTGAAAATAACTTCACGGTGACGAAGATTTTAGAGGCGCGCGTCTGTGGTTTGGTGATGTTGAATACGGTGACGAGCAAGTTGATGGGCCTCTTCTGCACACTGCGCGAATTCAGCGGCATCGGTGCGGTATATTCCTAAGTTGTCGGGCAGGAGCATGGCGTCGAGAATCGTCGTGACCTCGCGACTGTGGACTAAGCGAAAAGGTGTGAAACCGGTCCTTTCTTGAACAGCAGTGTTATACGCAAAAGTTACGTAGGGAAGTATGGCGTCCCAGTTCTTGTGATTGATGTCCACATACACTGACAGCATGTCTGCAATTGTCTTATTGAGTCGTTCAGTCAGCCCGTTTGCTTGCGGGTGGTAAGCCGTTGTTTTACGATGTTCCGTGCCACTTAATCGCAAGACTTCCTACAGCATCTCTGCGGTGAAAGCTGTCCCACGATCAGTTATGACGACAGCTGGAGCACCGTGACGTAAGACGATGCTGTTCACGAAAAATTGGGCGACATCTACTGCGGTTGCTTTTGGAAGCGCCTTGGTTTCACAGTAGCTTGTTAAGTAGTCGGTAGCGACCACAATCCACCGGTTTCCAGACGAAGACGTGGGGAATGACCCCAGCAAGTCCATGCCAATCTGATGAAAGGGCGCCTTTGGTGGGCCTATTGGTTGCAGTAGTCCCGCTGGTCGTAAAGGTGGAATCCTA